ATTTTATTTCCTTTCATAACAATTGGTATTTTGTTAGAAAAAGTACATTGAGAATATTGAGGTCAAGTAAATGTAACATAAAAGCACAGGAAAGGCCTTGCTAGACCAGATCAATGGACTGTCTAGTTCAGCATCTACCTTTGTCACTGTGAACAACCTTAGAAGCCTAAAGCATAAAAGGGTATCCTGCTATTGTCTAGCCATCATGACTAGTAGTTATGAAAAGGCTTGACTAAATGGTTCAAGGACCAAAAGAGGATTGGGTCTTTTTTATTCCAATATATCAAATCCAAAGCAAGGTAGATAGAATATTAGGTGGAGCCATGGTCAAGCCTGATACAGAAGTAGCAGAAATATATAGAATGAATCTAGTAAATGCTAGTTTTTATTTATTTTATTTATAATGCTTATGTCTACCAAAACAAACAAACAAACAAAAAACGAAAAAAGACTCTACAGGGTTATAACATTGGTTCAGCTGCTCTGAGATAGTTGCCACTAACTGGCATCAGCTCTCCAAGGTCACAGTCAAGATTCTCTTCTCACTCTACCTGGACTTGCTAGGGGTTGAAACGGGCTTTTTATTCATACAAAGCATGTGCTGTATGACTGAGCTGCAGCCCTTCTAAATTGACAGAAGCAACACTAACTAGCTGCCAATGATGGTGGATCAGTAAAGGCAGGTTTCTTCATGTTTTCACATTTTAATTTCTCCTATCCTCCAGGGAAAATAGCAAGTACTGGGGATTGAGATTGCAGCATGTAGCCTTCCTGTCATTGGCATTGTGCAGACTGTCTACCATTCTTTGTGTCTTTCTGCTGGCGAGGGCATAGAAATGCTAATGAGATTGAGGTATGACAGCAAGGAGGTTTCTTCTCTGACTTGCATTCCTGTCTCTCTCATCCTTGGAGCTGTTAAAGAAACATGGGGATGGGAGGGGGATTGCAAGCAGGGGGTCCATATCATATCCATTATGCAGTAGATTGATCCTGTAACCCATCAGGTTGAAACCTTTTTTCTTAAACACACATAAGATGATTTTAGAATGGGAAAATATTCATAGTTAAGTACTTCACAGCATTATGTTTCTAGATTTTTACTATTACTGTTTTAATATGATTGTAAGGTATCTCAAAAAAATCCTAGTCTATATTGCATGATATGAAAATAGAGAAAATGAGCCAAACATTTCACCCTTTTCAGCAAGTGTTTTGTTTTTGCTTATGCCTACAAATCCATTCTACAATTACCTTGCATGCGCTAGGAGTGGCTACCAGCATCCTCACTACATCTGGCAAAAAGCTGTGCCATGAATTCCAGGGTTACCCAAGTGGCACAAGATATAATTGCACTGCAGCAGCTCCCACACCATAGAAGCACAATTATATTACTTATTGTGTATTTTATGCAACTTGCTTGGCCACAGTTTTATCTGAAGGTATTTATCTATTCACTGAGTTCTGCTTCTTTTCAAAATAAAGAATGAAAGGAATGACAGAGAATTTTAATAAGGGAATCTTTTCATATCATTATCTCTTCCAGATTATTAAGTGATATAAAGTACCTTCAGAATTGGCTAAGAATGGACAGTATCTTCAGACTGAGTGGTCCATAGCCAAAACAATGTACTCCATGCACAGGAGGGAGGTTTTGGAAGAGTCTGGGAAATCTCCAAGTTTTGTAGAACTAAAGCACTCTTTATGAGGGTTTTTTAAAAATTTCAACAAACAAACAAACAAAAACAAACAGGCATTGAGGATCGAATTTGCTTAGTAGTCATGAATTGTTGATTGACTGTTGAATGGGGAGAAGAGAAAACTGAATAAGAAAACAAATTAATTACTTTCAAGAAAACATGGCCTGCTGGTTAGATAGGAAACAATATTTGGTTGTAGGTCCCACCTTTTCATATTTCAATTTCTTGTTTTCCAGATGAAATGTTGTTTGCCAAATGAAAGACACATGTTGAAAATGTAACCTTGGATAACTAAAGGATCATACTGTATTGGAATACCCACATACTTATATACTTTCAGAAAGAAATATATCTTCAGCCTAGAAAAGAAAGAAAACTGCATTTTCAGCAAGAGAAACAGTCCTTAAATTTATAACTTTATGTTCAATTGCCAGGGCTTGAGGAAATCTGAAATGACATATCTCCTTTACAGCTGCAAAAATAATTATGTGACTGCTATCTTGAGAGTAATCTAATGGATTACATTCTGTTAGCTTTTCATTATGTAATGTTAGAACCAAAAATAATTAATAGTAAATGGGAAAATATTTTTTTCTATCTCTATCTCTAGTACTTTGAAGTTCTCTTAAGGCAGTTTGTGATCTGCTGGTTAATTAGTGAAAGGTTTTCATTTACAGACACTGATAAAATAGACTTTATCCTAACAAGTTAAAAAAATACTCAAATAATTTGCTGATATTAGGATAGTATTAGAGTTCTTTGTTGCTTCAAAGGTGTTTAAAAATTTCAATGAGCTAGATGAGGAGTTTTCATCTAAGGTTTTACGAGCTTTTCCAGACATGAAAGGGAGTCACTATTTATAAAGAACATTTAATTAGGGGATGATTTAAAAAGATATGGTATGATCATATTAAAATACTTCTTCACTTTAGACTTCTGATATTATCATGACCTATTAAAATCATCCTTACCCTCACAGCAAATTCATTTCTTGCCTTCAAACAGTTGTGTTATGCAACAGCATGTGTCATGTATCATAGCATCAGCCATTAGGTTTTATAGTAATATGAATACATTTTCAATTAGAACATACACTATTGTTGTTCATATTTTTCATAAAAGGAGCAGTGACAGAAGAAAGTTTTCCATAATCACATTCCATATTTTTGGAGCCATACCTTTTTGTGGAGTACTGTTCAAACAGTTAAGATAAGAAGCTTCAAATATGAACAGAGGGCACTGTTGTCTCATACAGCTGTGTTTTCTAAAATTCTGAGTTAACTTGGAAGCATGAGTTACAATGTACTTGAAAGGTTTGGCGTTGTCATACATTAGATTTTCATAGGTCTGGTGTCCCACATCCAGTTCTGGGTAGTTCATGGTGCTTTCTCACCAATCTGTGGCATTTTGAGACACTGTGAATGAAATGTTCACCATGTCAAACAACATCATGTCAGACTGCAAATGGGATGCTTCTGTGCTACCTCATGAACAACGGAAAGAGCCATTATTTTCCATGTACCAATGGTGAAATGAGGAAATAATGCAGTGTGCATATGTGTGCACTTTGAGTAGATATGTGTTGGGTACTTCTAGCTTTATTCTGTGGCTGGTAAGAGAAATTCTTGACCTTTATATTATTCTTTGTAATCCTTCAGTTTGGTGCATGGACTAATAACTTGATGTTGGAAGAGCTTTGTTTCTTTGCTTGCTTATTTGTTTTTCTTACAAGAAATTGTGGTCAAGCACCTCAGTCAGCTCCAAAGATTATACATCATACAACGTCTGTGTGGGGGAAGAACTAAATTTCCCCTGGGGAAACCCAAGCCAAGGTAGGACCACTTCCAATATACAAGGCACTGAACTAGTGTCTCACCTGCTCCACATCTTTCCTGGTTGGGGAGGCCATCAAGTAGAAGAGTTGAGATTACGCCCAGGCCTGAAGAAGATTATTCACTGGGTAGCATGCAGCTATCATATAGGGTGTAGAATGGGCAAAGGAGAGTACTTCTACTCTCCTCCTTGCTCCTGAGCTGAGGGGAAATTAAAGGTAAGAAGACAGGCTTTCCTGAAACACCTTGTTCACTGGAAGTCCTCTACTTCTGCTTTAAAAATACTGTGAGCCTTGTTGCACTGATCTCTCATTAAAAATTGTGATAAAAGCATTTTGGTGACTAGTTTAGTTACAAGTGAAAAATATCAATGACTTATGTAGAATTGCATGCTGTAAGGCACATTTCAGTGCAGCTAAGAAATCATTTAGATTTGCATTTGGAGTCTTTCGAGCATTACTTTCTTTCTACTTTCTCATAAAAATAAATAAATAGGCATTCAATTGAAATGAATACAGTGCAGATAGCCATCATCCACATTCAGATGTTTGTCTACCTGCATATCTGAGGACGTTGGGAATATCTGCATTTCAATGCTTTCAGTAAAATGTCTCTTTGGGTATGTACCTCGATTTATATTTCTTGTTAGGAAACTCCATGATCTGATGAACATTCAGCCATTTATTCGGTTTATCATAGATTTGAATCTTGGGAAGGGAAGAATTGGAAAATGTATGTAAAATGTCTCACACACTCCACTATTTTTCTGGCACAATTCTTTTGAATTGTGAGAAGTCACTCTTGCAATCTGCAATCTGCCACTTGGCAGGCTCTCCTTTTAGAGCTACTTAGTTTTAATATTTTTCTTTGACAACCTTTCATACACTTTCTGTGTTGGTTCACTTACAAGAAAAGGGATAGAATTTGATGGGAAGATATATAATATAAAAAATAATGTAGCCAGACACTTGAATTTGCAACATTGTATTATTTAACCAGTATCTTGGAGTTATTTTGGAGAGAACAGATAGCCTACAGTGCAGTCCTTGGAAAAATAAGGGATGGGGGAGGAATCTGCTTTCTGTCAACTATTTGATAAATGCACATCTGATGTTCACTTTTTTGGTGAGTGCTATAGACCATGAACTAGAAACAAAGACCAAGCAAGTAATAGGGCAATATTTAAAGAGATTAAATAAGAGCATTTCCATCAAGGATGCATTCTTCTCTGTGCTTAGGAATGAAATACTTTTCAGTAAAGAATGCCAAGTAAACATGTCAGATGAAAATGACACCTCTTCTTACTGACCTGCCATACAGAAGGGAAAATTTTCGAAATATCCAAGCTTTGTGCAATTCAAAAATCCATTGTACTTTTAAACAAAATTATCCTTTGAATTCAGTGTAACACATATTTAAGACCACTTTCTCATCAATGATTTCATTTTTGCCACCTTGTTCACTCTTTCAGTACTGCGTGATGACTTCAGACAAAACCCTTCTGATGTTATGGTAGCAGTTGGTGAACCAGCTGTGATGGAATGCCAACCTCCAAGAGGTCATCCAGAACCTACCATTTCATGGAAAAAAGATGGATCTCCCCTGGATGACAAAGATGAGAGAATTACAGTAAGTTCATTTGAAATGAATCAAATTGCGTGCTAAGCTAAGCAACATGGATGGGCTTTCATAGTGATTGAAGCTACTTCAGTGTTCAAAGGAGAACATCACAAGTTAGACATTCCTACCAACAGATGAGAGGGAGGTGATTTTTGCTGATTTCCCCTTGCTCCAGAAATCTTAGAAATTTGCCCTGAATGCTTGTGAGACTCCAATGAATTCTGAGAGTTCTCACTGGAGGGTTGCAGGAGGAAGAGGAAATTAACAAAAATCACTGTATCCTATCTGCTGTTGAGTTCCATTAGAAATCTGTTTCATCTTGTCATATATTAACTACATGATTTAAAAACAGAATCTAGAGAATGTTGTGCCTAACTATAGAATATTTTACATATAAATCAAAGTAGTCAAAATATGATGATTTTATTCATGATTGGTTCCAAAAAGTGGAGGGTTTGGCCTAGCAAACTGGGTTAAATACAGTGAATCTAATTTTCTCCATTTTGTAATAATACTTGTGGATCATTTATTCTGAATCATTGTCATTTGCATTTTAAAAGGAAAATCTGGAGAAGTAATTCATCTTTTTATGTTGTGATTCTTGGCTTTTAAGATGAAACTTATAAAATGAATAATGCATGGACATTTTCATCTCAGTTCTGTGCGTAACTCAAATTTTCAATGACTTATGGTTCAGATAAGTTGTAGCTCCCTTTCTATGCTGCCCAATCCTCTTAATAGCACATCAGAAAACAGAAATGTTTTGCATGCTTTGCCAAATTAAGTTTATGGACACAATTATTGTTGGGAAAATGATACCAAAAAGGAGTGGGAGATTTACTGTACACTTACATTCTGGAAAGAATGGTAGAATCAAAGCTTTCATTCAATCAAAAATATTTGTTTGCTGTATTGATAGTGATGCTAAATTATTCCAAAATGCAATTCAATCATCTTGAAAAGTATTCAGAGTTCTATTTTCATTGTTTCAAAGAAAAAGCTTTGAAGTACTTAGATGACAAAAAGCAAAAGAAATGGAAAAAGGCATTTATGTATATCACTTGAAAGTGATCTGTGTATAACAGATTAAAGAAGAAACTGCCACAAAATTAATCTCCATCCCAAAAAGGATGCCTTCCCATGGAAAGATGAATTGTTGTAATAGAGGAAAGGTCAAGGAGGAGAAGGCAAATGCTAAGTTTTGAGTTGTCTGAAGAGAAAGCCATAGTTTTAACCCATAAATGCTTGTTTCAGGTATATTTTGACACAATTCTTTACATTTATTCATTTATTACATTGCATACTGTCCCATAGCCCATGGGGCTGTCTGGGTACAGTTTACACATAAGAAACATATAACAATAAAAGCACTACAAGTAATTCAATTAATTAAAACCAAATAAAGCAACTTGACAACTCCTGGTGATTAAATTGATGCATGGCATAAAACTGTTTAACATAAAAGCAATGTTAAAATCATGTTTAGGGTTGGCCCCAAGCTATTTCTTTATTTCTTTAAAAAAATGTCCATAGCATCTGTTATTTTCATGAGAAATCTTGAGACAGTTTACAATTTTAAGAATATAGAAACATATTACAGCATTTTATTTAATAGGATTAAATCAAATATATATTAAAATCAGCAATTAGAATACTAGTTAAATAAAATGGTTTTGATCTGGTGCTGAAAAGAATAAAGAGAAGATGCCAGATAAACCTTTCTGGCTCTGTTGAGGGATTTATACATTAGCATCAGCACTATGAATTGGGCCCAGGCTTCAGTAGGCAGCTAGTGTAACTGGCAGAGAACCAGAATAATAAGATCTCATGAGCCAGTCCTACTTATTAGCCCCACTGTCCTGTTCTGACCCTGTTGAAGTTTCTAGATAGTTTTCAAAAGTATCCCCAGACAGCGCATTACAGTAATCCAGTTGTGACGTTACTAGCACATGGATAACTGTGGCAAGGAGAACTCTGTGTAGTTGGGAGATCAGCCTCATCTGATTAAAGATGGTCCTGGTCACCAAGTCCACCTGTGACTTGAGGCATGATTTGGGTTCCAGAAGCACCCCGAATATATAGTATTGTATATTCTGTTTTTTTCTCCATTTTTGTGATTAGAGTCACCTTGTTTTTAATGGCTGTTACACAGGTAAAATAGGGATAGCCAACTGGCCTCTATTTCTAGTACCTTCATTAATGGGTTACTATAGCTGCGTAGGGGAGTACACTTGTCTATATTATGTTAAAGGAGATTGGGAATTGCACTTTTTATTTTAGACCTAAGAGCTAAGAGTGCAGATATCTTTTGAAACTTATGACAAAAGTGAAGAGATGTATTAGCATTTATTTTTGTCTTAGCACACTTCAGCCATGATGTAACGACTATATACCCCTTCCTTGGTTCTGAGTGACAAAGGTCTGAGATAAGGTTTTTCTAAGGGTTGCATCAGAATTAGAGAGGCAATGAAAAGTGGATATGTGCTTGTGGGTACTGATGAAACAAGTATATAGCTTGAACTTGCCTTCCAAAGGGAAATTGTGTTCTTTCCTGATCTGCATAAGTCTTGGTATGATAGATATGCTGCAAGTTCATGTGCTATCTATCACCTTGTTGCTTTTTTGTCTGTTTGCAAAGACTTTCTTGGTGCCTTTAGGTAATCTGTGTCATTGTTAGAGTGAGCATTTGTACACATGGTGGCATGGTATCTTTGTTTACTAACTCTCAATCTGGGCAAAGGATGCACTGGAGATATTATAATCTCTATGTCAAGATCCACAAATAACTACATATTTAACAGCTGTTCTTGAGGAATATGCAAAACTTATTCATTTGATTGTATTCCCAAATTAGAAACAGAGACCTTTTTTTTTAATTAACTTGCTTAAAGTTAATTAAGCAAGTTAATTTCTTTTCTTACATAAGAAAAGAAAGAATAAGAAAAACCCTTACATAGCAAAAGTGGTGTGTAAAAGTTATTGATACAGGCAAATGTGTTATTTTTTATTGTTTGTTGATGCAGGTAGAATTTTCTAAATGTAAATGTCTGAATATCGTAACATATTGGCTGAATGATTCCTGAGTCTGCCAGACAGGCTAATTGACAATGCTTGATATGGCTGCACTGCCTCTGTAAAATCATGCTCATATAGGGTGGTGCAGGGAAATAAGAAATTTCCAATTGATGTTCAATGCACGAATAAACACATTCCAAAATACATGTTATGATGAAATATATTGTACAGGATATGCAATTAGTGATGGTAATCAATATTCATTTAATATTCATTTTATGTTTTGATGATAACATCATGAAAGTGTTGTCCATTTCTCCGTACCCATTCTGACAGCTTGTTGTAGAAATTCTGTATTGATCGATGTAACATGTCAAGAGGAATGCCAGCGATTTCCTTTTCCGTCTGCCTTCTTAGTTAAGCAATGGTTGCAGGATGTGTGTGGTACACTTGCCTTTTAAACAATTGCTAATGCCCCAGGGTCGCCAACTCCTAGTTCCAAAGTTCTGTTTGTTAACATATCCATTAAGGTGAAAATGGGCTTTGTCCAAAATTCACAAGTTAATGAAATTGGTGCCCTGGTTTACTTTAGCCAGCAATTGTTCACAAAACTATTGATGTAACACATGGTCATTGGGTCTGAGTTCCTGCACAATCTGCAATTTGTAGGGATGGAAGTTCAACTCATGCAGTATTCTCTGCACATGTTGTCACCCCAAATGTAGCAGTGAAGTATGTTGTTGAATGGAGTGATGAAGGCTCGTCATGATGGCAGCTCAAACAGCCTCAATATTTTCTGGTGTGCAGGCTGTTCGACCACCACTTGGGGACTTTTTTTTTAAGGCTGAACCAGTTTCATCAAAATTATGCATCCATATTGTAATTGCATAAGCAGACAGGATATGATCATGACGTCCTGATAATGTCACTGAAATTCCCTTTGCACAGCAGTCACACTATCACCATTCTTATAAAAGGCTTTTACTGCAAATGCTTGTTGCGCACCACTCCACTTCTCCATTATAACTAATAGAAAGGGATTGTAAATGAGATCGCACTGGTTTCAAACAATTGCGGACAGCCCAGAGTTGCCAACTCCTAGTTCCAAAATTTCCCATTTCCCTGCACCATCCTGTATAATATTACAGCCTGTGGGAGCTGAAATTCACATTTCCCTGAGTAATGAAGATTATATTCAGCTGGAACATAACTTATTTGTGAATATTTATATTTAATTAGGGGGGAGGGAGGGAGAGATTTTTAAAACATTGGTGTCTGAGGAGCCAACAGCAACACATTCATGCTGTGTTTAAGTGTATAGATAAAATATTCATGTGTTTAATGTTTGATAGTTATACTAATAGTTATCATTAAAATATGTTGGGGAACATAGAGGACTTAATGTGAACCAGATACCAATTGCATGCTATGAATGGTTATCTTATTTGTGATATCTTTTGTAGCAACCTTCTGGGGTGGTGAACAATGCAGGTTTCATTCCTGAGTTAGATCTCATATCTGAAAAATATTTTAAGGTGTATTCTTCTATTAGGAATGGGATTAAGTCACAGTAGCAGTTTTTATTTTAAAATGTTGAACATTTTTAAAAACTTATGGAAAATGTTAAATGTAATCACATCATCACACAAGTTGCAGAATAATTTGTGACAGTTGCATACTTACATACCAAAGCTGACAAAACTTCCTACACATTAGTGTATTTTTGTCCCCAAATTAAAAGAAAATCACCCCAAATTCATGAAAGTTGGTCACTTGTCATACCAGAGGCTTCCATCTTTAACACTCCCATAAAATTGTAAATCCTGCTATACACAGTGGAAACAATTCTATGAACACTTCTGCACCGGATTTTACTACATGCCTCTGATGATGCACGTATCTAGGCAGTTTTGTACTAGTCACTTTTTGAGAGTAAAGATTACATCCTGTGTAAGATAATAACTAGAGTTCTATTTTATCTTATTTGACTTAGC